GATCTGCAAAATGTTTAAATTTAATACCACCACATTTTAATTATTAAGTTTGACTATAGCAGTCTGTAGAATTAATAAAATTTATTTATTATAGAAATGACGCTGGGAGATTATAATTATTATCTTAAAGGCATGTTACCAGTACTTCTGATGCTGCATGGAGTTGAATTTGAACTGGTTCAACTCTGGCATAAACATTCATCAAAGATCAAATAATGCCACACTTTTGATTAAAAGTTGACAATACACTGGCCTAGTAAAAAATATACATGTGCATGTAGATTGTACATATGAAGAAATAATGTTTACTTGGCCCCACCTAATGGCTTAATTCCAAGGATACAAGCAGTAGTCAATGATCTGAATTGCTAATTTATTATTTACTCTGTACATGTATTAATTAATTTCTTATATTTCAGTGAGTGAGTACTGATCTATTACTAGTGAAATCAAGAGATTACAACACTAATGTAATCAGCATCTTGTGTTAGTACATGTACCTTAAATTGCAGTTGTGTAAGATGTTGAGACAAAAAACATTTTTTCAGAACATATGTACTGTAAAGTACATGTACATGGATCCAATAATAGCAATAATAATTATCATGTGACACTGTGTCATGTGACTCACTGTTAATTTTTGATATCAATGCTCTATCAATTAGCTGAGGTATCATTATCAGTGATGTCAGGGTCCTCCCCCTCATGGTATCCATATGTTAATAAACACTGTAACCATCTCATTGAGTCTATTGGTATAACATCAAACTATATAGGGAGAAGAAATAAAGTTTTAAATTAAACATTACAGTATAGTCAGCTCTCTTAATAGAAAATCTATGGCATACTATTACATTCCTCAAACTCATCAGTAACATCTTGCCGTTCTAGTAATTAGGAGGCGTGACCTTTTAGAATGAATAGCTTGAACTTTGACCTAAAATAAATGAAATATACACGTATAACTGATTAACTGTATACAATGTACATGTATCAGAAATTGTAATAAATACATGTACACGTACATGTACACATTCTACATGTAAAATTTTAAAAAAGGGAATTTTCTCCTAGTCATTTGACATTATGCATAACATGCTTCACACTCACCTCAATTCCTGTAAGCAATTGGATAATCTTGATTTCAAACAATTGATTTGGTAACAGGAACAAATTTAACCAATACAGGAGCTAAGGGGCTGGACCTTTGCTTGGAATTTCGATATTGCAGAAAACGCAAAATTTAGCATAATTTAGGCAGCAAATAATGATTATGAAATGTACATAATTATTATACAAGAAAGAAAAACGCTTTACATAAAAATGCTAATTTATTAATAATTCAACAACAATTGAAGAGGTAATAATTTTTCTTTTAATAATCTATAAAAATTTCGAAATAAATATTAATAATTATCAAAATAATACATGTACCTGTTAGCCTTGTTGTGTTGCTCACTCATTTCTATCTTCTCAATTAAATAATTTATAAATCTTCTAAGCGACTCTACTCCTTTATAATTATCACTAATCCTACCTTTCAACCAATCACCAGGCAAAGTATGTAATAGCTGGAACAAAGAGAGAGAGAGAGAGAGAGAGAGAGAGAGAGAGAGAGAGAGAGAGAGAGAGAGAGAGAGAGAGAGAGAGAGAGAGAGAGAGAGAGAGAGAGAGAGAGAGGGAGAGAGAG